TCAAGTCTATCACAGGGGAGCTTTATCTACTCAGCATTTTGGCTGCAAGAAGAGTAAAAGCAAATAGAGTAAAGTTGGCTGACCAGGATTGGTCAAACATGGAAATTTGTCTATGGATATTTTTCTTATTTTAACTTCAGAATTAAAGGAACTATAAAATTAAAAGACAAAAACAAATTCATATGAAAGTCAACTACAGAGAGAACAATTCCAGTTTTGTCCCATATGTTTCAATGTCTGACCCCTTTATTTATTCAACCTAGGACTAAGACCTGCTTGCATGGTGCCAACCCTGCCACTCAGCAGAGGAACCAGCCCAGATGAACAGTCTGTGGGCTAATCATTGTTCAAGAATCCTGTTGGTTCCACCTGTGCCTTAAAGTTTAAGCTTCATCAACAGAAAACTCCAAAATAAACAGAATACAAAGTAATGTTTCTTTTATTGCATCTCTGCAATAAACATTACCAAGAGGCCACATACATTGTTTTTGAATTATAAATTCTAATAAAAGGCAGCAAACTTCCTTCCTTTTCCAAAAGGCACTTTAAATACTGCATTCCCAAATAAAATTGTGTGAGAGAGGCAACCACAGATTACAGTGTTTTAAGGTATAACTTGATGGTTAGAAAACATGAAGTACAAAAGGGAAACTGCTTTGCCAAAGAAAATGATTCATTCTTGGCAGGAATGCTGAGAGTTAACAAAGGAATATGTGGAAAACATTCGGAGCTCTTAAAAAAAAATGCAAACTCTCTCTAGCAATCTGAAGGTGTGATGTGCTTTAACTCCCACTTGATAACCTGGGACTGGGCAGCTGTTTTCAACCTTCTCTGACCACATACATCTCAGTGCTCTAAGAGGGGCAGAGCAGGATAAACAAGGAAAACCAGACTCTTCACTATTTTTTCCCTCCTTACACTTCAAAATGACCATGGTGTGCCTTTTTCTTTCTGTCTGAAGATCACATCGAGTTTAACTGTTAACAGTTCTGTGTGGCTAAAAGCCACCATTGAAAGAAAAAAATCTTCCCCAACTGACTCACAAAAACCAAACTGACTTTTCATTTACCAGAACTACTTTTTGCAATCTGCTTTCTACACTCACAGTTATCACAAAGCAATTTCTTAAAAAGAGTGCTTCTCTTTTTGATGGATGTTGACAAACTAGTTTACACCACAGTCCAACCCTCTAAATTCCAATTACTACCTGCTACAAATAGTTGTTACTTGAAATATAAATAGAGATCAATTAAAATCACCACCCAAGTCCTTATTTACAAACCACTGGTAATGATCTAATGCTCATATTGAGATAAAATTTTCAAAGTATTACAAGAAATAAACAACTTGCATTTCCTGCACAAAAATATCTGGCCATGTGCCTTTAATATCCTTTAATATACATATTTGTTATCTATACACTCTGTGTGCATGTGACATAAATAATGAAATTAGTTTACAGAATAGAAATTTTAAAAGGATAAAGAACTTTTTCCTATTTTCTTCCCATACCTCACAGACCATAGATTCAACACCTTCCTTCTTCAGAGGCCACTGACAAACACTTTATTCTGGCCTAGGTATTCTCCTAACACATAGCTTTACGTTCCAAGCCACTTTCAGTTTGACATGGCTCTGAGGCAGTTGGTAGAATCTAATTAAGGGCTTCACTCTGTGGTTCCCATGACACAAGTATAAGGAAATTATTCACCGGACATCTATGTTTGAAGGCCTAACTAGGATCCATATGGGAGAGCTTTAGGAGTGCCTTCCATGTTTAGAGATACCAGAAAACATGTGTTAGAGCCATAAATCCTGTTCTGAAAGAATCTAAACATACAGACTAGAACGAATATTCCAGCAATGTGACAGTAACAGTTGGTTATTCAAAAGAATGATAATCAACATCCCTATCATGAGCAAACTGCTGACTGCAAGACAGAAAGAAATCTGGAGACAAAAGCAGACAACTTGAAATTTTCAAAGGACATAATTTCATTTCTTATCAAAATCAGGAAGCTTTATGTTCTAGAATCAGGGCCAGCATTTAGGGTTGAAGCATTCTGGTTAATCGAGAACCTTATTGGCAAAGACAGCATTTTTGAAAGGAAACACAAGATAGGTGGGAGGGGCTACAGTGAGCTAATCCTTTACCTGCTAGCACCAGCATCCCCTGTGTCCTGCCTGCGTCACTTTCTTTCTAGCTCTTTGCTTACGGCCTGGAAAGGCAGCAGAGAATGGCCCAATTCCTTGGGCCCCTGCACCCATGTGGGAAACCTGGAAGAAGCTCCTGGCTTCAGATTGGCTCAGCTCTAGCCATTTCAGCCAACTGGGGAGAAACCCAGCATTATAGATCGTTTTTTGAAAACTTAGGTTTTTTTTTTGTTTGTTTGTTTTTGAAGGACAGTAGGCAGAACTTAATTAAAAATCTCAGCTTCTCTTCATTTTACATGCGATAATCTGCCCATGTTGCTATAATTTCCTTCCAAATCAGAAATTCTCAATATTCTCCTAGCTAAGAAGTACATATACACCAAAATGGAATATGAGACTGAAAAAATTGATGTCTCCCTTATGTCTTATCCCTTACAAAATCAGTCTCAGTTCCTACTGTGATACTGGTATGCAACACAGAACCAACTAATGAAAGCAGTCATGTCAATGAGAGCTGGCACTCTCTTCTTCCTTCCATGTAAAATAGTTGTTGTGTTTATCAGCACCATTTAGTGAGTACCCACTGTATATACAGAATCTTTACAACAGTAGTTATCAATTACCATTGGTCTACTACATGAACTTTGTATAACTTTTTTTTTAAACACCAAAGTAACAGATTACTCACTTTATTTTATAGGACAAATGTTGAGATGTTATATTTTTTAGTGGCTAAGCAAGGATCAGAAATTAAATATAATTCTAAAATTTTAAAATAACTTCACTAAATGCTCAATTTCCAAATCTGTATTCTGCTTTTCTCAAATTCCATCAATAATAATGCTTTCCCATTGTCTATCTAAAAGAAGAGACAGCTACTACACAATTTGAAAACAGCATGGGTTCCCAAGTGGAACCAACTTAGTTCAAGCTGTGGCTTCATTTCCTTCTAGCAACACTGCCTCAGTAAATACTTGTTACTTTTTGAGTGTTATTTTTTTTTTCTTTTATCTGTAAAGAAGGAATAATGCTGAAATTAAAAAAAAAACATTCTGAAGAGCAAGTGCGCATGTATACAAAGAACAATTAATGGTGCCTGGCATTTACTGTGTGGTAAGCACACAGTAAATGTCCCCACTATTCTTGGAAACACCAGCATGGCAGCAGTTCCACCTAGAAGACAGGTACAGTGTATGTTACTCAGAAGAGGTTCCTGCTAGTTTCAGTGTTAGGCTAAGCAGCAGTCCCCCAAACCTCTCGAGATGATCCAACAGGCTCAAGGTTGGGAAGGCATGCTGGGAGTAGTTTCTTTCTCTGAGGGTCGGCATTAAAAGGAAAGAAGAAAAGCTAGAGTATGCTGTGCATTAAAGTGTTTGATTTGATCAAAGAACTTTGAATGTTTCCAAGCTTTTGGCTAAAGAGGAAAGGCAGCAGGCGCTCCAGCTGCCCACAGGTTAATCAGGACAGTGTGTCTTCAAGGCACAGTTCTATTTCAGTTAGATGAATCCAAGATACCCAGTGGAATAGGGAGAATAGACACAGGAACATGCCAGATTTATTTCAGACACTCCTGCCTGAAAGCAAATCATGGGAAAAAGGAAAGTTCTTCAAAGTTTAATGTCTGGATGTACCCCAAAATCATACAAAGACAGGTTTGTTTAAGGTTTTATACCAGGGTCTGGGGTGTTGGCTCAGTAGTTAAATTCTCACGTTGTACACACCAGCATCTCATATGGTGCTGATTTGTGTCCCGCCTGCTCCACTTCCCTTCTAGTTCCCTGCCTGTGGCCTGGGAAAGCCACAGAAGATGGCCAAAAGCCTTGGGACCCTGCACCTACAAGGGAATTTCAGAAGGAGCTCCTGGCTCCTGATCAGCTAAGCTCTGGCTGTTGCAGCCATTTGGGAAGTGAACCAGCAGACAGAGCTTTCTTTCTGCATATCCTCTATTTAAATCTGTCTTTCCAATAAATACATCTTTTTAAAAAAAATGGGGAGGGAGGAGGCTAACACCAAACTGTGAGCATTTAAAGAAACTGAAATTTTGGTAAAGGCTGGATGTTTTGTGCTATTTCTGTTGGACACTCAAAAGAGAAAGTTAAATTATGAAAAATATTTTGTGACCTTTAGAAAAGCAATATAAGTATTCTGACTCTTCCAAATATAATCCTGAGATTTTAAATAGCAAGCAGCATTATTGAAAAGGCAAATATTATTTAAAATAAATTAAGCTATAGGCTACGGGAGCAATAGGCATTATGACTGCTCTTTAGAGAGCCACAAAATTCATGACTCCACGTTTAATAAAAATGTCACAGATGCACAAAGATGTTTTGGGGAGTCTATGCAACTAAAAACAGTAATTTCAGCGTTATCTGACAGCTTTAAGACAAATTAGAAAAAATAATTTCCCCCAAACTATGGAGATACCATAATAGAGAAAATGTAACACAAATTTTCTATTCTAAAACTCCTTTCATCTTCGGTCCATTATTTAAACAACTACTTTGTCAGTAGGTCCAAGACCTAAACAAACTGGCCACAGGCTACAAACTGCGTTTTGTGTGTTTCATATCTTAACAGCATGCTTCAGATAACAGGAAGCAGGTAATGTGATGTCTACCTTCTGGAATCTAGCTACCAGCATTAACTCAGTCAGCGGGACCCAAGACCATCACTCTGACCTTTGCTACCATTCCATTCCCACCACTGTGCATTCAACAGAGCAGGTCACAACTGATGGGGGAAATTAAGAGACTACCCTGACAAACAGAGCAAGTCAGAACCAACTGTTCTTTTCTGTGAAGAGTTCTGATAAGGATGAATTCATGAAACAATGATATACATACCTGTACCACAGGATCTTTTGGTTGGTGTGATTAACGAGACATGAGCTGTGTCTGTGCATGGCCCACCTAGAAACAGAAAGGCAGGCACATCAGTCAGGACATAACTGTTCCACGTCCCTAAATGCATTCTTGAACACAGAGAAAACTTTTGCAAACATTTACAGGGAGGAGCAATAGCAAAGAAGATGGTAGAAGGAGTGGAGGTTAATTTTAAGGATGACCCTTGAGTTCAGCAATCAAGTCTACAGCGATCTACAATGTATCTACATTTTACTTTGCAGGGAAAAATAAAAGTCAAGTCTTGGGCCTGGCGGCATGGCTAGTGGCTAAAGTCCTCGCCTTGAACACACAGGGATCCCATATGGACACCAGTTCTAATCCCAGCAGTCTCGCTTCCCATCCAGCTCCCTGCTTGTGGCCTGGGAAAACAGTGGAGGATGGCCCAAAGCCTTGGGACCCTGCACCGATGTGGGAGACTCGGAAGGGGCTCCTGGCTCCAGATCAGCGCAGCACCGGCTGTTGCAGTCACTTGTGGAGTGAATCATTGGATGAAGGATATTTCTCTTTGTCTCTCCTCCTCTCTCTATATATCTAACTTTGCAATAAAAATAAAATAAATCTAAAAAAAAAATTCAAGTCTCACATAAGGATAAGAATGTAAAAAATAAAACTTTAATTATAATTCAAATCCAGATGATAAGAAATGATCCTTATGTTCAGGAAAATGAGTTATTTCAAATAGCACTAGGCAGGAGTACTCCCCACCTGATCTTAGTGGTCACTGTACCTTTTAGTTTATTGTACAACTAGCCTTATTTACAGGGAGAGAGGGAATCCCTAAAGAACGGTAAGTTAATTAACAAAGAAAGAATAAAGATCATTTTGGTAGATAAAGAAAGCTTTGATGATAAAGGTTTCATTATACAAACAAGGATATGAGATGAAAAGAGTCTTTATGGGATCAGGCGGACCCTGGATCTGATATACAAGCCTAAGTAGACAAGAGATATAACTACACAGTGAATAAAGGCCTAAAAAGTAATAGTTTCATTCTACATAGTTAAAACTAACAACACATTACGATGTTTTTTATTAATGCATGCTCAACATTCCTTATTAATTGTGTCCTATCCTTCAAATAGTTTTAAATAGGAAGTTATCATGCAAATATGAAGGCCAATGGTTCCTGATGTGCCTTTATGGCACAAGGTGATGAAACAGTGATAAAAGAACAGCAGACACAGAAAAAATAACACATTTATTTTGAAAAGACTCACTAAGTGACTGACAAGCAAAGGGCAAACATGGTTACACAGTAAAGATGTATGTAATTTATGACAATACTCAATAGTACTGAAGTTACTCACCAAAAGGGGAGGAAAAATGAAAGAACACTGAGACATGTTCCCTTAGGGTAGGGGCTTGAAGATCCCATCTACAAAGTGGGCCATCAGCCTACTTCCTATACTAAGGTCACAGCAGCATCAACTTTAGTGGGTTTAAGACAACATAAAAGGAAAACTTTAAAAGGGAGGAAAAAAATGACTGTTAATTTCTTTTTACTTCCTGTTGTTGATTTTCTATTGTGGCTTTTCATTTAAGGGGATGTACAGCAACTGTGAAATGGAGGATATTGCATTGTATCTTCCCATATCCAGATGTAAGGATACAATGCAGTATGCATCTCTACTTCCAGACTAAGATAGCCTCCCAATGAAACTGTTTACTATATGACAATAGGATGATGGACTCTGCCATTGTCCATGCCCACAATAATGGACAGAACTATACTATAGTAACCATACAGGGGAATTCGGTGGGGGGCGGTAGGGGGGAGCTGGGGAGAGGATATGGGAAATCCCAGGGACCTACAGAACTATATCATAAAATGGTAATAATAATAACAATAAATAAAAGATTTTTTAAAAAAATAAAAAGTAAAAGTGAGAAAAAATGAAGTAAGGGCACTGTTTACTTCAAAGAACACTCAGCGCAGGGGGGGACCCCAGAGTGGAGCAGGCGGACAGAAGGAGGCTTGTATCCCAACCCTGAAGACTCCCAGATCCTCACCAAGGACTATCAGTACCAGCATCGAAGACTACATCCCAACTGCCAAGGAGACCACGGGAAATTGGGAGTGCCTTCAAGAGGCCAAGAATGCTGAGGTCACCCAACCCCGTTTGGATCTACCACACGGGATGGAAGAAACCCAAATCCTGCCTTGCAGGATCCAAGGTCATCGGAATGGCAACCAGGAGCACTGAGCTTACCGTATTATTAGGAAGGCAAAAATCAAAGTACATAAATAAAAAACAATATAAGACAACTATAAATAAGCTGGATGGAAAATGATCAAGTGCCAAAGAGATGGACCAGGCAATAAGTACTGTATGTTGTCAGGAACAGGGATAATCATCACATTGGCCCTGATTACCTAAAAATGCAAGAATCTGACAATGAGGCAAGAATAAACTGAAGAGTTTTTAAAGTCAGAAAGGGCACAGAATATCTCAATCTAATATCATATTCACCAAAGAATGCTTAATACGTTAAAATCCCAGAGATCTGCTTTCCAAACAGGCAACATGAAGAGATCATAGCCTATTTCGTATCTAACAAAAAACTCTATCTAACTTGCTTTTGTTTACTTTTTAAAATGCTTTAACCTCTGCTTTCCTAAGAGGTTTTTTTTTTTTTTAATTTTGTTAACTAAAGCATTTTCATTTCTGGGAAAAAAAACAGGTTGTTACAGAAATTTAAATTTAAATCCTTCAAGTCCTCCCCACTTGCTGAGCAATGCTGGATAGAATAGTCTTTGGTTTAACCAAAAAAATTTAAAAAATAGTAAAATTGGGGCCTGGCGCTGTGGCGCAGTGGTTAAGGTCCTCGCCTTGCACGCCCAGGATCCCATATGGGCACCGGTTCTAATCCCGGCAGCCCGGCTTCCCTTCCAGCTCCCTGCTTGTGGCCTGGGAGGGCAGTCGAGGACGGCCCAAAGCTTTGGGACCCTGCACCCGCGTGGGAGACCCGGAAGAGGCTCCTGGCTTTGGATCGGCATAGTATCGGCCGTTGTGCTCACTTGGGGAGTGAATCATTGGACAGAAGACCTTCCTCTTTGTCTCTCCTCTCTGTATATCTGCCTTTCCAATAAAAAAAAATAATAAATCTTTAAAAAAAATAGTAAAATTGTTGGCAAGCCAAAAGGTTTAATTGATCACTTGTTACTTGAGCACATTATAAGCATTAAAGCTTTATAATATGGCTAATTTCCTCTTCCACATGAATTCATGATCCCAAGACTCAGAACACACAACACAGCCTACTCTTGGTTATGACTATGTTAGCAGTGGGTGCTTCACCATGTTCACGTCTAAATGAAAACTACAGGCTGTTGGATTCAATCAGGACAGTAACGCACATTTCAAAAAAAAAAAAAAACCTTTTTCTTGATGCATAACATACAGAAAAATATACACCAAATATCCTTTAATCCAAAATATTCGGGGACCAGAAATGTCTTGGATTTTGGAGTATCTTGTATATATAGAGTAAGATATCATGGGACAAGGTTTAAAATATAAACAAGAAATTCATTCATGTTTCACATAAATTTAAAACACACAGTCTGAAGGTAGTTTTGTACAATACTTCTACAGTGCTTGCATTTTTCTGAGATTCTCAAGTGAGTTTATACATGGAATTTTCCACCTATAGCATCATGTCAATGCTCCAAGAGTCACATATTTTATAGCATTTCAGTTTTTTTAATTTCTGAATTCCAGATGTTCAGCCTATACTAGACAGGACAAAGTACTCAAATGTCATGCAGATTCTGAGGTTTAAACACACACACACACACACACACACACACACACACACACACACACACACACACACAGTAACAATCACTGAAATATTAGAATACTTCCAACACAAGAAAATTCTGGGTATCAAACTTAAAATACAGGATCCTATGCCCTGCTTTGGAAAACTTTCACCCAACTGGTTGGCATGGACATAGGAAAACATAAGGGTACATTCTAAACTAGCTGAATACAATGTAAATATAGTAGACCAGTTAGCTACAGTCTCTGATAACATCTTCTTTGCCTAGAATCACTGAATTTTCACAACACAATGAGCTACACAGAGGACAAAAGTCACTAACAGACACTAATAGTCACTAACTACCAGAATATATTTTAATAGGACATAAAATAATCTATCCAGTAAAATTACAAAAGAGACAGTCAATTCTAAACCAAAGAAATGGGGCTCAAATTCATGAATTAATGTTCTATTTAAAAATATCACAGCTTATTTTAAACAATAGAATTTTAGCCTTATCTGTTGGCTGAGAGTTTATTTTTAAAAGAATTTCTGGTGAATAAATTTCTATAGGTTTGGCAAATATGCAAATAACTTTTAAGTCTACTGAGTGCATCTCAACATACATCATCATGAAAGTGTTCTCCAGAGAGCTCGTTAAACCAACAACCCAATCCAATGTATTCGCTACATTACAGTAAAGTACAAACAGAACCATAGTTGAGCCAAGACAAATTGACAGCAAGAGTAACTGGCAGTGAGAATATATCCCTGTTTTGATAATTGGGCAATATTATAACCAGAGGACTTGGAATTAAGTTGGTCTGGCAAACTATAACCTAGAAATGCCTTAAGATCTAGAACAGAAGTATATGTGTACCACACATTTATTGTACACCAATTACTCTGTCATTTGAAATTTCCTGTAACTATCAAATACAAGGAGTAACCACAGTAGATTGCAATATCTGCCCTTATACAATTAATTTCAAATTAACTTGGTTAAAATGAATACAGAAAACTAAGGGCCACTCAAGGGAAAGCTCTTTACGGTTCTGTCCACAACAAGAAAAATCTAACAAAGGACCTGTGTAGCTACAGCAAGTAGCAGTGTTGATGGTTAACACTAAAGGTCAACATCAGGTCACCTTCACAAAAGGGATAAAGTTGGCATTTGGTTTCTAAATTTTCTACTGCCTGTCTGAACAAGGGCATTTTTCACCATTAATTACCATAAA